TTGAAATTTCTGCAAAACCGCAAAAAAACTTTTCAAGTCGCAAAAAAAATCCCATACATTTTCAGAATACCTGTTGTTTTCAACAGAACCTTACACTAAACAAAAATAAAGCCGCAACAGATGCTATTAAATTGCCTATGCTTAATTATGATTAAATTGAAATATACCAAAAGTACCACCAATAAACACTTTTATTTGCGAATTAGGTTGAAAAAAATCGTAGTAATACACTACGCTTCGCTTAGTAAACATGCAATACTTAATAACAGGTAACAATTCGTAACATTTGCAAGTAGCTCTGCTCATCCACGTGGCTTATATCAGGCACGAGAGGCATATTGCACCTGAATCAGTGTTTCCTGATTATCCTACTCTTCTAACTTATAGCCTGTTCCGAATTGTTGCCTGTAAAGAGTTTTCAATTTGCGATTTTCAGAAAAACACGAATATGCTTTGACTATGAATGTCGCTTTGAGTTTCACCACTGTTTCCTTAAATTAAGGAGTTTAAAAAACTTTTGATTGAAAAATTATGAAATCTGGGTAAAATTTTAGAAAATTGGATATTTTTCTGATTCTGACAGCTACTGAATTTTTATTACTTTTTGTATGCAAAGGTATCCGTTTATTTGAAATTCTCTCACTGAAAAAATTATAAACATTTTTCATTTACAGCTTCCTGCATCCATGTTCGATATGCTTTCTTTTTTCAAAACTTCATATAACAACTTTCATAATTGTGAACTCCTTTACCCCTATTTGAAACTCCTAAACATATTGGAATTCGTTAAATACTTGATTTTTAATTTTTGTTTTGTACAGTCCATTCTCTCATATTTTCTCTTAAAGCAAACAATTTCAAAAGACGCTCAAGTTTTTGGCTTTTTCGAATTTACTTTTGTTTGTTGACGCATAGGGCATAACTCTGTACTGTTGAATGGTTTGACAAAAGCGTTATATGCTGTCCGTGATTGCTTTTTACCGTGAAATGCTCCGATCCCATAAAACCCAATAAGCTATGATACCAAGTAAACTAACATCTCAATCATAGCAAAAATGCCAATTGCTTCAAGGAAACCGAAAAAGAAAAAACACTTCCAATTTTTCCCAAAGTATTCTTTATTTAACAAAAACGGCTATAATTTCGTTTTAAATTAGCTGAAAAAATTTTTAGCGACTCTTGAAATTTTTTGCTTTCTTTTGAAAAACTTATACAATTCAAATTATAGCAGCATTTAGTCGTTCTTATAACGCTTAAATTTTTGTTATTTATCAAAACCTTCTTTTTAAATTTGTTTTTTTTTTAAATAAACCAATCTAAAACGATTTGTGAAAATTTTACTTTCACTAGAAAAAAAGACAAAACTCTCATCATACAATTTTCTTCTATGGAAACTATGATAAGCCTTTTTTCCGTAGATTCCTCATATAAATGTGTACAGTTAGCGTTTTTCTTTTGAAGAGGTCAAGCATTTGAGTGTAAAACAACGTTAGATCAATACATTACAGATAAATAGCGGCTGGAATAGAAATTGAATGAGAATTACGCGGGATGGGGTGTTTTGAACCTAGATTGAAATTCATATCACTCACTTTGTTATAAAAGCAAGGAAAATGCAAAAAAGAGCTCCGAACAGGCATGACAAAGCGAAACCAGGACAAAGGAAATATAGGCAACAGACAAATCAAATGGAAAATAGTAATGAACGCAAATAAACAGAAAAAAAACATTGACTGTAAAAAATCTATCTTTCGAATTTCAAAGAAAAAAAAACAGATGCCCTTTAAGCTCTTTGACTTTCTAGAACAATTTTTGAACAGCGTTTTTTAGAGCATTCACCCAGCTTGAGAAAACTGCATCAATAAGTAAAGTTTTCATTCGGCTGGAAACCTATAAACTAAATTCCACTTTCGAAACTAAAAATGGTTCACGTTTTTTCACACCATTTCTACGCTCGTATACTGATTTCTAGATTGAACTCTCAATATCAGAATTATCTAGTAGTTTTCGTGGGAAGAAGTTTCCACAAGAAATTTCTACAAAAAAAACGGTAAAAACTCTAGAAAATGGATTTTGTGCGATAGTAAAATTTAGGTAACTCTAAGTGGATGAAATTCAATTGAGCTCAAAGAGTGCATATAAATCTAAGTCCATTCATAGATGTAATAATATCTATGAATACACATCTGCAGTTATCAGAGCAGTTTAAGACTTTTTCCTGACAGAAATTACCAAGATCTATATAAGTCTTCATTACGTTCATTACATTTAAAAGATTAAAAAAACACCTTAAGAAAAAACTTTTGCTGAGATCATCAGTGCCACGTTCTCACATCTGCTCCACGACCACTAGTATGTTTACTTACACTAGCATCAATTAAGCAGCTGCAGTTTTTTAAAAACAAATTGCCAATTGATTCGATCAAAAAAAAATTGACCAAAAATTCGACCAAAAAAAGTAATTCAATGTTCCGGATTTGAATCTCTCGCTTGTGTATTAGGAGTCTCAGGTCCTCAAATTTAAACCACGGTCGCTTGGAGGTAAATTAGAGGCCCAGCTATTGTTGGATGCACCTGTTTTAATATTTTAATCTCTGATTGTACAGATACCGAAAAGCGTAATTTTCGAAGTTTCAAAAAAATGGACTTTACCCAATACACTACTGATTTCCCTACTTAGGTAGGGGACTAGCCGCTTATTTAAAACAGAAAACTACTTTTAGCTCTTTCAACTGAACATTTAATCTCAGATTTGGCAGGGTAGTTTTTGAAAAAAAAAAGCGAAAAAAGGTTCCAAGAAACGATCAAATATAGTTAAATAAGACTTTTCCTAAATTCCTTTACTTTTCTCTAAAAAAGCATGGGAATAGCATCTTATGCAGAATATCATCTTATGCAGGGAAGACTTCCACACACTGATTTCTAGATTGAACTCTCAATATCAGAATTATCTAGTAGTTTTCGTGGGAAGAAGTTTGAAATTTCTACAAAAAAAAACGGTAAAAATTCTAGAAAATGGATTTTGTGCGATAGTAAAATTTAGGTAACTCTAAGTGGATGAAATTCAATTGAGCTCAAAGAGTGCATATAAATCTAAGTCCATTCATAGATGTTATAATATCTATGAATACACATCTGCAGTTATCAGAGCAGTTTAAGACTTTTTCCTGACAGAAATTACCAAGATCTATATAAGTCTTCATTACGTTCATTACATTTAAAAGATTAAAAAAACACCTTAAGAAAAAACTTTTGCTGAGATCATCAGTGCCACGTTCTCACATCTGCTCCACGACCACTAGTATGTTTACTTACACTAGCATCAATTAAGCAGCTGCAGTTTTTTAAAAACAAATTGCCAATTGATTCGATCAAAAAAAAATCGACCAAAAAGTCGACCAAAAAAAGTAATTCAATGTTCCGGATTTGAATCTCTCGCTTGTGTATTAGGAGTCTCAGGTCCTCAAATTTAAGCCACGGTCGCTTGGAGGTAAATTAGAGGCCCAGCTATTGTTGGATGCACCTGTTTTAATATTTTAATCTCTGATTGTACAGATACCGAAAAGCGTAATTTTCGAAGTTTCAAAAAAATGGACTTTACCCAATACACTACTGATTTCCCTACGTAGGTAGGGGACTAGCCGCTTATTTAAAACAGAAAACTACTTTTCGCTCTTTCAACTGAACATTTAATCTCAGATTTGGCAGGGTAGTTTTTGAAGAAAAAAAAAAGCGAAAAAAGGTTCCAAGAAACGATCAAATATAGTTAAATTAGACTTTTCCTAAATTCATTTACTTTTCTCTAAAAAAGCATGGGAATAGCATCTTATGCAGAATATCATCTTATGCAGGGAAGACTTCCACGCACTGATTTCTAGATTGAACTCTCAATATCAGAATTATCTAGTAGTTTTCGTGGGAAGAAGTTTGAAATTTCTACAAAAAAAACGGTAAAAACTCTAGAAAATGGATTTTGTGCGATAACCATATCGGCTTCTCTATTTAAAAAAAGTAAAACAGATTACAAGGGAAAATTCAAGCACCATGTTAGTTTGATTGAAGTGACAACCTCAGAACCGGCGATTTAGTTTTTGAAAGAAAGGTGAGTTTCCAAAAAAAAATTAAATTGCTTATGCTTAAACAGGCTTAAATATGATTAAATTGAAAAATACCAAAAGTGCCACCAATGAACACTTTTATTTGCGACTTGGGTTGGGAAAAATCGTAATAATACACTACGCTTCGCTTGAGTAAACATGCAGTAATTCGTAACTCAAAGCTACATTTCGTAACAAGGCATTTGCAAGTAGCTCTGTTCATCCACGGGGCTTATATTGGGCACGAGAGGCATAGTGCACGTGAATCAGTGTTTCCTGATCATTCTACTCTTCTAATTTATAGCCTGTTCCGAATTGTTGCCTGTTAAGGGTTGTCACTTTGCGATTTTCAGAACACCACGAATATGCTTTAACTGCACCAAAAAGCTTAAATCTGACCACGCAAATAAATTGTTCTATGAAAAATTGCCTGAACTTCTTATGCCTTTCATGACTTCGTTTTCATATCGAGCAATGAATTATTTTGTACAAGCAATTTGAAAACGCGTATGAGTTGGTAATTTTTGCCATTAGTAATCCATAATTTTGAAAAAAAAGCTCGCAGTTGAGCAGTATAAGCTCAAGTTCTCGCAATAATGAACATATAGACGTGTGGAAGTTATTGAGGCTTTACAATAAGGCAAGGTCAGTTTCTCTAGGAGCAAGGAGATTTGCAAGAAAAATTGTTTACGGGTGACATTTTAAGTCCCAATTTTGAAAAAAAAATTTGAAAAAAAAAATTTAAAAAAAAATGAATTTAGGAAAAAGAGCAAGTGAAAAGGCTTTTTCCTAGAAAAAAAAATGAATATCAACACAAATACACTTGCTTCGCAGTATAACAAAGTTACGCTTCGCGTGAGCAAATATACATCACAAATCGAGGTGAAAAATAATTTCCCTCACGTCTTCAATATCTCGCTCGTCGCATTCGTACGGGAGTCCCAGCAGTTTGACCAGATTTTTGCCATCAGATCCTCTGTCCCTGCTATCGCGATATGGACTTCTCTCCCTCCTCACAGGTGAGCGGGATCTATCCCTTCTAGGGGGATCTGCTCTCCTCTCTCCTCGCACACCTCTCTCGTTTCTACGTTCACGCACGGCGATCCATCTACTTCCTACCGGTTTAACAAAAAATATTACTCAATGAGATATATTGGAATGATATTTATAATAACAGCAATTCTTCTGATCTATATGTTTTAACTAATAAATAATCAGAAGATATCTGGGTTCTTTAATACTGTTTTTCTTTAAATTGAAAATTTTCTTACGGATGACTTTTCTATGCTTCGAAAGTGCTACTTCTAAATCTTGCAGTGACATGAACTCTGCGAAGGCTTCTTGAACTTTTCCAGATGAATCTTTGACAAATTCTACGTAACTGGGCCTGGCAGGACTCAGAAACTGAAAAAAAAAACAGACCATAAATTTGACTGTTTTAAATACTTAATTTTTTCGTTCTTTCGTTGTTTACATTTTGGTTTCCTTCCAACATATTTTCTGAAGTCCCAAATAATGAGATACTAACATCCATCAGCTCATCGCGAGAGCAGTCATATGGGAAACCTTCCATCTCCACAGCATATGACTCCCCTCCTGAGATTGGAGGAGGGACTGACACAGGCGGTGGCAAGGAGTGTGCCATTCTCATCTCCAACTCGATTGCACGAGCAGCATTTAGCCGCTCCAGCCTGTCCAACTCTGACAGTCGAGCAGACGAGTCTGGAACAAATATTTTGTCAATTCTACAAAACGGCGAAGCCGGGTTCGCACCGCTTGCCAGCTTTGATTAGCGTTTGCCAGCTTTAAAACAGTATTGCCAGCTTTCAACTAGCGTTCAGAAAAAAATTATCAGGGCCGTAACTAGACAATCAAACTTGGGTAGACGCCCGTTCAGCCAAGAAAAAGGCCAATTTTTTTTAAAGCTTTTTAATAATTTTTGCATTTCTCAATTTGTTTTTCGCTAGACAAAAAACTAAAACTCGTCCAATGCCTTGTATACAAAAAAAACTTTTGTGTTCTATAGAAAAAAATTTCCCTTTCGAGAAACTTTTTTTCAAAAGTAACATCAGTTTTTTTTCATAAAAAACAGGGATATTTCAAAAAAGTAATTTCATTGTGTCATTAATTTGAATCGATTTATAAAATATCTCAAATATAACCAGAATTGAGACGCTGAGCTATTAACTAAGTCCAAGTAAACTCAGACGAAGAAGCCAGATAGCCGAAAAAACTTACAACTTAATTAATTGATAAATTAGAAAAATATTACAGGGCCAGAATATTACAATCAGTTTATCAGAAAAAAAAACAGCAAAAACTTTATAGGTTTGATATGACTTACGGATTCCTAAATCCAATTCAATTGCCTCAATATGCATTGCTCAAATAAACAAAGGCTAGAAAGCTCTTAAACCAAAACAAACACAGAGGCGAAGTAGAAAACGAATGGCTATGATTACCAGCAAACGAAATCAAAATTACCAGCAAACGAAATCGAAAATGAATGACTATGATTACCAGCAAACGAAAAGACCAGCAAACGAAATCAAAATTACCAGCAAACGAAATCAAAATTGAAAAAAAAAAACATTTTCCCAAGCCTTTTTACAACGATTGCAAAAAAGCACAAAAAACTCCTGTAACAAAAATACCGGCACTGTTAGAAAACTTGAAAAGAGCTTTCAAAATACTTGGAAGAAATCGAACCTTTCTGCGAAACACAAGCCGACAAAAATTAGCAGACACGAACTTGAAAGTTTTGAAAAGTTTCAGCTTTAACAAAAAAACTAGTCCCGACTGGAATCGTCTCAAGCATGGGTGGTACCACTGAACCAAATGCACAGAACACTCCTTGAATTTACAAATGAAACAACTTCCAACAAACCAAAAATAGCACAAAAAAGGCAAAACTTCTTGGAACTCAATTACTTGTCCAAAACCGGAATCAATGAAATGTTTTTTTTTTTCAATTTGAATAAAAAATGCCCAAATTTTAGATAAATATGGTGCTGCGGCAACTAAGTCGACAAAAAACCAGACAGAGAGAAGTCCGAAAAAGATGTTTTTGACGCGCGGACAATTTTCCGCTTACAAAAAAAAATAGGTCCTGTCCGGATTCGAACCGTTCACCTGTCCTTATAAGCAAATGCGTTAGTTCTTCGCCACACGCGCGAATTAACGTCCACCTTTCGATTACATTTGAACCAAAAGCAAAAAGATTTAAGTGATTCTGTTACACTAGTTGCTAACCCGAAAAAAGTCTATATTCCGGTTTGATAAACTTGCTAATCGTAAAAGTAAGAATCTGTTGACGAAAAAACAGATCGAAAAGTAAGAAAAAAATGAGGCATTAACTCACGACTTGAATGGCCTTCAACAGTATGGACACCATGATACAGCAAGACGCTCAGAAAGATTTGAAAAAGATTTCCAAAAAAAATTGTGAAGGGTACTAAAATGAAAAAAAAATGTAGAAAAATTTTTACCGCCATTTTTCAAAAACTTTCAATGAAAGTCCGAAACCTTGATTTGAAGCTTTCAATACATTTTTTCAGAGCTAGATTTCGACATGGCTAGAGAATTTTTTTAGTAGAACGTAAAGACAGTCGAAGCGGAGATTCGCAACACTTGCAAAAATTACTTGAAATTAGGGGCAATCTTTGTCTCAGAAAATATTCATAAACAGCCTTAGAAAACATCGAACATCTTTTGAAAACATTCAACGAGCGGAAAGTAAGGCAAAAAACTGGATCAAACCCCATTAAGCCTCAAACAAAACTGTTGTCATAAAAAACTTTCAGCTATAAGGTTTGGAAACTCGAAGTTTTTACTGCCAGTCCCTCCTGAAACACACAGAATAAAAAAAGATTCGCCTTGAAAACTGCGCAATTTGAGATTGCTAAGACAATATAACAATCTAAAAAATGAATAAACTAGAAAAAAACTTTAAAAACATTCAAAATCAGAGTTTTTCAAATAACAAAACAACTTTCAATTAGAGTACTAAATGTTTAAATCTAAAAAATATCTTTGATAATTCGGCTGCTAAAAAACGGAAAACGAAAACCGCACATTCGAAAAAACTTCATTTTTTTCATAATATTATTTGAAAAAATTATTTTCTAAGATAAACTAAAATACTAAATTAGTAAATTGTAACTTGAAAGTGACTGCAGCAGCATTTGAAAGTAGCAGTACTTGAAAGTAAATGAATGTTTGTCAGAAAAGTTTTTCATCGGAAAAACTTCTAGTTCCCGGTTACAAGTACATTTGCTCTCACAAGTAAAATGAGCCGAACGAACTTTCTGCTGTTGTAGGCGCTTGACAGTAACTGCATCAGCATTTGAAAGTAGCAGCACTTTAAAGTAACTGCACATTTGTAAAAAGAATTGTTAACGGGGAAAAAAGATTCACGATCTTTAAAATGCACAAAAACACAAAATTTGTGTGTAATAAATTGAATATAGTAAACTATAACCACCCACACTAACTTTGCTTGTAATAAAACATAGCCAACTGACAGTTGGAAAAGAGTAATGAACAATAGTAAGCAGAAAAAACACTGACTTTGTGAAAAAATCTCAATTTTCGAATTTCAAGCAAAAAAGAGATACCCTTTAAGCTCTGAGTTTCTAGAACAATTCATGATTAGCGCTTTTTTGCTAATATGAACCCAACTAGAGAAAACTGGATCAATAGGTAATCTTTTTAATCCCCAGGAAATCTAAATATTAAATTCCACTTTCGAAACTAGAAATGGTTCGCGTTTTTTTGCGCCATTTATATTTGGAGAGTGATATTAACTTCAATTTTAGCGGATGAAAATCAATTGAACTCAAAAAGTGCATATAAACCTAAGTGCATTCACAAATTCATGAATATGTATGGATGCAAATTTGTAGTTATTAGAGTATTTTAGGACATTTTCCAGGAAAAAAATATCATCAAGATCTATATAAGAGTTTTCAATACGTTCATCACACTTAATTAGAAAGTATTAAGCAAAATTGTGTATCAATTATGCATTTTAAAAACCTCGCGAAATATTTCGAGCAGGAAAATTTGCGAAAGGAGATTTTAATTGCTACACTGTTGTATGAAGTTTTTTCGGTTCAATTGATGAATTAAAAAAGCATCAACTGTTTAGCTTATTACTAAGCTAATGTCAAAGCACTTGGGATTATACTGCTAATGTAGCCTGCCAATTCAAAACTGCCATCAAAAGTAGCACTTTTAATTGCATTTTAGCTTGGAAAAAGAAATGCATTGTACTACGCTCGTGAAACCATTCTGTGATGAAAGTAAATTACGAGAAAAGAGTATATTACCCGGTAAGAACAACACTTGTTTATCAATCCCATTAAATCAATGCAATTAAATCAATTATTGGTTCTGACTGGTTAATAAATAACAACGAACCAATTTACACACCACCTTTATGAGTCGCAGTTGAAAGAACCAACAGATCAATTGGAAAAACTATAATCGAGCTCAGGGAGACCGATTAAAAACTAATTGACCATTTTGAAAAAATAAAACCATTTACCGACTTTCAAAGAAAGAAAACGAACTAGGTGATATATTACAATAGGTGGTAGGTTCAATTCAATTAGCTGGATCTCTTCTTGTTACACTTCGCACATTATTTATAATATATTTCAAAAGCCATATTTTTTGGCAAAATAAAAAAAATTGAATTTTTGAATAGCATTTCATTTGGCAGAGTTATATATTTACAAAAATTATCTTAGTAGTAGTACGGTACAATTGATTGAAAATGAAATGACTATATTATGCATAATATTTTTTCAAATTTAATACATAAACTATACTCAAAATTACCACCTAGTGTAACATATCACCAAGAACTAATATTTAATTCTTTTAATCCGCTAGGAAAACTAAAATAATTAAAATACTTTCAAAACAAAGTCACTCACGCTTCTTCATGCCGTTTTTATTTCCGTAATAAGAGAGCATAATAGATTTTCCTGAAGTGAATTTGAAGTGTAAAAACAAGAAAATGGAACTGCGAACAATCAAATTTCAGCAAGAACGAGTTTCCAGACTTTTTCCTGAGAAAAACTCAACGTATCCTACAAAAGAGACTTAAAAGCCTTCATTGATACTAATCAAAAACTTGCGCTAGCATGTAGAAACATTTAACATTGATCTCGAGCTAATCTGGTAATAAATAAGGCTGTAATTTATCTAAATTAAAAAAAACTATAACATAGCCAACAGACGGCTGTAAAAGAGTCAATGAACGCAAGTAAACAGAAAAAGAACGGTCTTATATATTTTTCAACTTTCGACTCAACTTTCGAATTTCTAAGAAAACAATAGATCAACTTAAAACTCTTTGAGTTTCTACAACAATTTATTTTTACTAGCACTTTTTTGATAAAATTAATCCAATTTGAGGAAACTGGATCAATAGGTGAAAATTTTAGTTCGCCGCCACATTCGATTAAAAATGCCACATTCGATTAAAAATTCCACTTTCGAAACTAGAAGTCGATCAGATTTTTTGTGACCTTCACATTTTTTCTATTCGATAGTGGAGTTTTTTTTTATTATTATAACGAATTAACATCGAAAAAGAAAAAATTGCTCCCAAAAAAAAACTAAAAAGTTGAGAGTCTGCAGTTTGGTCAAAGACTTAGCACTTTCCAACCGCAGTAGTTCACTGTGCTGTAACTCGAGTTTTAAAAAAATTA